GCAGTTTGACCAGCATGCTGTCTGAAATTGTTAACAATGAATCTTTCTGTTTTTAAGATTCTAATTTGTCCTAAATTTAAAATTCATTGTAGCTACAGTAAAAGGAGTAAATATGATTTAGTAATAAAGACCCTGCCATGTTTAGCAGTTTGACCAGCATGCTGTCTGAAATTGTTAACAATGAATCTTTCTGTTTTTAAGATTCTAATTTGTCCTAAATTTAAAATTCATTGTAGCTACAGTAAAAGGAGTAAATATGATTTAGTAATAAAGACCCTGCCATGTTTAGTATAATAAACATAGTTTGGTTGCTGATAATTGCAGATAGTGGGCTTGCTATTTTCATTTTCATTGGCCTACTCATTACTTGCCAGTCTCTTTTTCAGATTCTGTTATGAAATTCTTGTTAAGATAATTTTTTTATAGTGCTTAGAACCTCCTTTCATATATCTCAAAAGATGTGAATTGTAGGAGACCATTGAAGGAGGCTATTTGCTAGTGAAGGAGACCAGAATTTTGTAATAGTCTTATAATACTTTTTTCACTAGCAACATCAACAGCAAGGAGTGTCATGAATCCTTCTAGCGACCCTGGCATTTCTCCTGGATACATCACAGTTGCATGTGTCGTAGGATTTCTGGTTTTGGCTACCATTATTGCAATAACAGGTAAATTCATTTGGAATTTAGCATTCACCTAAAACTATGTTAAAAGTTGTTGCTATATGGGGGTACCAGGTATTTTGGCGTGATTGCATGATCAGCCTATTTTCGATGCATGAATTCATGAAACAAATTTTTGTTATGCGTGAATGCGTGAATAGACATTGGCGCGTGACCTTTGAATCAGTATTACAAATGCATGATTGCGTGAAAATGAATTTTGAAACAAATTTTGAAATGAAGTGCTTTCGTTTCTATAAGCAGAAAGTCTTGGTAAATCAGGCCTGGCCATTTGTATTTTTATAGGTGAGCTGTGAATCGCTCCCCTCATTTGCTGAGGCGAGCTAAATCAGTAACACATAGAATGTACTTTAAAGACAATCGACAGATGACTTAAGCCCCTTTAGTATCTGCCGGTTGCCTTTAATAGCCTCAGTCAGGAGTATGCTGTTTTATTTCTTTCAATTTGCATTTGCTCTAACCGTGACTTCAGCACCCCCTTTACTTAAAGTATTTAAAAGAACAGACTCTTTCAGTTTCACAACACAAAAACAACATTTTTCTTGCCAAACAGTCTTTTTGTTGTACAGAATTTGAAAATGGCTTTGAAAAACAAATTTTGAAACAAACCTAAGTTATACGTCTAACACTCTTCAGAGTATAAAACGTCAGAACATAGATGGAAAACTCTACGCTAAAATACCCAGTTTTGGATCGAAATAGGCCAATCAGAAAACGCGAGCACATTACTGTTGAGGTTGTAAAATCTTTGCCGCTTTCCTATTGAAAATGTTACCAACGGATTCCTAAGGTGAAAACGAACTCCTTCTGTCTACACAAAAGCGGTCTGTCATGTTTATATAGTAGATAGATTCACAAACTGCTAGATGGAACGATGATCATGCTTTACCAATAATGCGAAACATGTCGCCGTTATAGTTTTTCACCCAATCTGGGTTTTTCAGTAAATGCCGCTGGATAGTGGAATTCCATGTTTTGGTTTCTTCAACTTTACTTCCAAAAATATGCCTGTTTTATTAAGATTGAAAGGTTCTAATCGCTAGAAACGTACCTTTCGCTTAACCACCCTTTTCCAAATAGATCGAAGTTCATGCCTATTATAACAAAAACCGCCCA